GGACCCTTTGGCTCCCCACAACTACAAATATGCCTTCATCCCTTTATTCTTACATGCATCACCCTGGAAGTGGTAGATTGGAATTAACTCGCTAGAATTCCAGTAATTTTCCCATTGGATTTCAAACATAAACTGGCTCTCTATAGCTTAGAGGAAGTACTCGTCCACAGAGAAGTTCCTCAGAGCCCACAAAACATGGAATTCAAGTGACTCTGAAGTCATGACTTCAAGATTTAGTGAAGCTGGGCATAGCGGTGTACACCTATAATCCCAGCCACTCTGGGAGGCTGAGACAGGAGGATCACAACTTTGATCCTGTCTGGGCAACTTAACAAGACCCTCTCTCAAAATATATAAAAAAAGCTGGGGATACAGCTCAGTGTTAAGTCTCTGGGTTCAATCCTCAGTATAGTGTAAAAGAATTTAGTGTGACACCAAGGTCCAGCAAAACAGAGATAACACCATGAACCCAATAATCCCTCCTCATGGAAATGCCATGAAGATTAAGTGAAAGGAACAAGGGAAGGGCTCAGAATGGTGCTTGAGTGCTGGCTGTTAAGCATCTGAGCACTTGGCTGCCCCATACTTCCAGGCCTCTTTGGTGAGGACCATGGCTCCCCAGGGCTCCTGGGGTCAAGCATCTAGGGTCTAGGACTCAGTGGATATTCTGTAAATGCTGACACTTTCTAACAGCCTTACCAGGGCAGCTTCATAATTCACATGTACAGTCACGTATTTAGTAACAATTACAAGCTGGGCATTGTACTAGCTGCTGTTTGACGGTCTCATCTACCTCACTTTACAGGGAAGGATGCAGGCTCGGTAGCATTCTTGCGGCCTCCTAACTCGAGTCCCTGACTCTACAGGGCCTTCCTTGCTGAAGCTTTTTGTAGCTATACCTTGCATCTCTATCCTAGCATGGCAATTCTCTATCTGCTTCTTCTGGGCTCAGCTACAATGCACTGCAGAAGAAAGAAAAAAAAAAAAAAAACCACTGAACACTGCCAACTTAGCCCTTTAGAAACCCACACACTTGCCAGGCGTGGGGACACATGCTTATAATCCCAGCACTTGGGAGGCTGAGGCAGGAGGAAATTCATGAGTTCAAGGCCAACCTGGACTACATAGCAAAACCCTGTCTAAAAAAAAACAAAAAAAAACACCCAACCAACCAAAAACCACATACTCTAATGACAGCTGGAGCCTCACTACCATTCTTCCTGCCACACAAGCTCACTGCCTCAGTGTTCTTGCTCACATAACCATTGTCCCCCCGTTTCCCATCACCACAGCCTGCTGAGTTCCCGTCACTTCTCACAACTGTGCCCCTTCCCCCGCCTGCCATCCAAACCCTGGTGTGTCAGTCATGTCACTTATATGGGAACTCTCCTCCTTCTACTTTGAATCCTAGCATGAGACCAGTCTCCCTAAGAGACGGGGTCAGGTAACGTTCCCACCCAAACACTTCAGGTGCTCCCTATGGCTGGAGGACAAGGATAGCACTGCCACAGGAGGCCCTCTGTGCTCTGGTCCAAAGCTACTGTTAATGTCTTCTACTGCCCCACACAAACTCTGCCTTTGGCCAAATCCTCCAGTGACCAACCTACCACAAAGCTACCCAGCAATACCTGCCTATGCTGCAAAGCATCTGTCCTGCTCCAGCCTCTCCACACCTGAGCACTCACTGTCCACACCCTGGCTGGACTGCAGGTATTTAGGCCATCTTTCTGTCACCTATTACATTTAATGATATGCAGGCAAGGATGGCCTCAGTGACTTCCACATGATAAACACAGTGTGCTAAGTTTTCACTCTAGAATACCACAAGAGTGGGGCAGATTCTTCCCTGAAGTGTCACCACTCTCCTAAGCCGTGTTCCTTGGGGACCTCTCACCACTGAACACACAACATTCACACACATCAAGCACTTTATAGTTAAATCAACTTTAGCCTCTGTGTCAGCAAGTGTACCTGAAGACTATTTCCAAAAAGTTTCAAAGTACAAGTCTAGATCCAGAGAGACCCTGATCAATTCAGGAGCTGACTGCTGGACACCTAATTTCACAGGGCAGGGCAGACAGCAGCCTTGCCAAAGGACATAAAGGGCTTTCCGAGAAAAAAAGATTCAGGTTGAACAAAGAGCTAAATTTAGTTTCTTCCTGAGTATGTTTTCCCAATCAACAGACCATTAGAACACAGTCCCACTACTACCGCCACAACTGACTCAAGTAGTTATTGGACAGTGGCTTAGACACTGCTGACCACCACGCAGCATGGAGTCAATATGACAACCTGAGCAGCCACCCAAACCACACCAATGGTGACAGACATGTTCTTTTGCTACTCTGGGGATTAGCAGAAAATAAAGCAGTTAGTATTTCATGCCATATGCACCACAGCCTGGAGAGTGTCCAGCTGCTCCTAGAAACTGCTGAGCCACACTGGTCCATCACTGAGCAAGTGTTGAGAGGAAAGAATCTATTCTGCCACTGAACTCCCCTCATCATTTTACACTATATTCTTTCTACCTCAGTTTATCTGTGTTCAGAAGAGAAAAAAGAGACATGGTAGCAGGCAGATAAGAGCCTTGCCCCTGAGCCTCTAGTCCTTGTCTGTTACAAGAAAACTGCACGAGATGACCTAGCAACCTATTAATTCATGGTCCTAGACTGTTTCTCCAAAAAGCCTAGATATGCTGCCTTACTTGGATCCTAACACGAATAGTAGATCCAACTGGGAAAGGGTTGCTCAGTAAAGTTGTGCTCGAGGCCTCAGCCTTGCAGCTGGAGCAAAGGTGAGAATTAGCTATGGAGAAGCTGCTGGCAACATAACTGCTGCTTGCTCTATTTCCAGCAAGACCCTGCCTGACAAAAGGGATTTATTCCTACTCCTTGTCAACAAGAAAAATCTGACAGAACGAGGCCACAGGGCTTCTTGTCCCTGCACTGTCAGGTGCCAGCAGAATACCACTGGTCACTAGACCACAAGATGCCACACCTTGGTTCCTGGCCAAGTACAAACAGTACATGTGGTTTGTAACATGTTTATGGACGGCAATTTTAGTAAATAGTTTCATGTGAAGACAAACTTTTCCTTCCATCATGAAAAGAAAGAGATGTGAAGATAAAGACGGGCAGGTAGAGCGTGTAATAGGAAAAGCTTTCACCTCTTGTTTTGTTTACTTTAGCAAATGTTTTCTCTGGTTCTTAGATCTGAGATACATCCTTGATTCTGTTCTCACTCTTTTAGCCACTTCACTCCAAGGCAGACTGTAATTTTCCCAAGCTCAGGAATTGACAAACTGCATAATTCAGCAACTTTGGTGGTACCACAAACACTACAGCGACAGAGGACTCCCAGCAGGAGCAGCTTGCTTTACAACCAAGGGATGGAGGGGCAGTGGGAAGTCCAGGAGCAGTGTACCTAATGGACAGTAACTGCCTTTGAAAAGCTTAGGATCTATCTGTCTAACTAAGCCTGATTCTGAGGAAGGGTGTTTGTCCTTACACAGGTGGTAAAAATCAAGGCTACAGTTACACTGTTACTTAAGGAAATGTCCTTAGTAAAGAGGCATGGCCACACCAGAGTCCTCTAGTGAAAGAAATCATCCCTGGAACAATTTCACAGTCTTTCTTAGTCTGACAGTCTATTTTTCACAGAGAAAAAATAGACTAGGGGGGAGGGAAAATTTTTCACAGAGAAAGATAGACTATCGAAAAAAAGCACCCACAAACAAGCTTCTAATACAGGCTTCTAAATACAGCAGAGTCCTATGCTGTCTACCAAAAGCAATTCTATTCCCCTTTGAATTCAGTCATGCTGTCTCCCTAACTCAATCTATACCAACTCCGAGCACTCAAAATTTACTCTCCTGTTGGTTGTGGTAGTGCATGCCTGTAATCTCAGCACTCGAGAAGTTGAGGCAGGAGGATCACTGAGTTCAAGGCCACCTAGACTACACAGCGAGTTCAAGATGAGCCTGAACTACATAGTGAGACCTTGTCTCAAAAAAACTAAAAAAAGAAAAAAAAAATTACCTTTCCTTTAAACCAAAATCAAAATATATTCCCTTCTCTGCTTACTATATGATTACAATTTCTCCATTAGCTCTCAGCATCATTCAGTACAAATGTCTGCCAACCATATTCCAAGATGCCCTGTTAATAATGAAGTTTTGGGGAAAGAGATGGGGGGCAGAATGAGGTGAACCACCCTTGCCACAGCTGTTGAACCACCCTTGCCACAGCTGTTGCATAGGCTGTATGCTTGCAGAGAAGATTCTAATGCTTAGAAAATCTGAGTAAACTCACTGAGGTAAGAAAATAGTGGCCAGCATAACTGCTAAAACACAACTCTTTTGTGTGTGTTTTTGAGACAGGGTTCCACTACACAGTTCAAGCTGGCCTGAACTCACTTTGTAGCCCAGGCTGGGCTCAAACTCGCAAGGATTCTCCTGCCTCAGCCTCCCAAGTGCTGGGATTACAGGCATGCGCCATTATGCTTGGCACAGCGTAACTTTCTTACATAAAAACTGTGATAGCTAAACTCTCACTGAGCAGGCTGCCAGGGGATGAGTGTATATAGCAAGCAAATATAATCCACTCTAATTTCAGTGATGTCAATCATCCATCTTCAACTGTATTTGCACCAGCAAATAACCAGTAAAACAGAAGTGAATTTTTAGTGAAATATATAGGCAGTATCAGGGAAGCTTCTCTGAATCTAGATATTCAGTTCCTGCGCTTTAACTGTTAATCACAACATACCAAATAAACAACAGACCATATCCTGCCAGGTCCAGGGTATAAATGTAAAGAAACTTCCCCTCCATAGTGTTCTAGTGCTCAATTGGCTGCATCCCCAAGAGACAGTAACACTGGGTAAATGACCCAGCCACTCAAGTCAATTCCTAGGACAAGATTCTGACTCAGAAACCGGGTCTTTGTGTCTCAAGCATAACAGAAAGAACAGAGCAGCCCGTGGGGCAAGGTGCCACTCACCTGTGCAGAACTCCTTGCTCACACTGTGGGGCACTGTGATCCGTCGGTAAACAATGGGCTCTGACTCTAGGATGTTTTCATCATGGCGGTACCGAGCAGGCCTTTCATTTGGGATGCCCCGGCAACGGGTACCGGTTCTCCTCTCATAGGTATCAATCTCCTCAAACACAGCTGCCTTGTCAAAAAGGGCCAGGTTCCCTTCAAAATCAAAATCTGTGTCTGGCATCTCCTCAATGTCATCCCCAAAGCACTCGTCATCTTTATTCTTCATTTGGCCATTCTTCAAACCACTTTTCTTTGGAGTTGCCTGATTTGGGTGCCTGCTGCTAGATGACCCTGGAGAAAAAAGAGGGACTGCAATCAATATATCCGAAGAAAGTGGGGAAAAAGGGACCAAATACTAGCTCTTTATGGAGCATGTAACAGGAATCAGAGGGAACAGTAAGCTACAAAACTACAATGATTCTCATGTGGACTGACATATTTCAAAAAGTATTATCCAATTCGCTCATTAATGCATATGAAAGAAAATACTCCTGAAAATCATAAACAGTTCTATCTCTACAAGGAAACTGGCAATGACAAGTTACCATCAGAAAAGATATAGAAGGGCAAGAACAGCTGCCTCTTCCCATAGGTCAGGGTGGCTTGAGTCTGAATGTCCTGCAGTCATTTAAGAGAAAAACGTTCCCTCCCCCAAAGTAAAAGGTCCAGCCAAGTCCTAGAAGCATGAAGCTCACAGGAAGATTGTACTGAAAGGGCACTTAATTGAGTGGTTACCCAGCAAGCAACATTCTCGTTTTTAAATTCATTTCAGGTGACAGGCCCCTGCAAGAGGGACTCCCTGGTTTAGACAAGAGATTGAAGCTCTTATGCAATATGCACCTTCCAGTACAAATTGGTATTCTGACTTACAAACTTGACTTTAGAATTTTCAGTTAATATGATCTCCTTCCTCCTCCTTTTATCTCTTCTCAGTAAGCAACTCCTGAACCATCAAAGACTGAATAAATACTGAGCTGATCTTGCAGAGACCACACCAAGATGCACATCAACTGTAGAGCAGCCAGCTGAGCTCTGTCTCTGAGACTATGCAGTTACTATATGTTGCTCAACAACTATTTTAGCAGCCAAGGCAAAATGACCCACAGAATCCTCCAAACTAGCTGTTCCAGAAAACTGCTGTGGCATTCCCAGTAGGGTTTCTAGGCAGTCAGTTAATGTTTAACAAATTAATCAACACTGCAACATCAATTATAGTAATTATTCTGAAAGATGTGTATGATGCAAATATAACATTCAAGTTCTCTTTATGACAAATATTCATATGGAAAAAGACTACTGGCACTGAAGACATGATTTAGGTTTTTAAAAAAATGAAGAGGAGAAAGTAGTGGATACCGTTTACAACTTGGATTATGAGCTACTATAAAGCTAAACTGAGTTCTAAGGTTTTGGCTGAGTTCTTTTTTTTTCCCCTTTTGGAGACAAGGTCTCACTATGCAGGTCAGGCTACCTTGGAACTCACTATGTAGCCCAGGCTGGCCTCAAACTCTCAGCAATCTTCCTTCCTCAGTCTCCTACCTGCTGGGATTACAGGCATGTGCCACCACACCGAGCTCAGGGTTCTATTTTCAATCACTTGCCAAATGATTCAGTGACAGCATGCTGTGTGGCACAGGCAGGTGCTAGAAACAATGTATACAATCAAGCCATGTCGCTCAAAAAGGGAGGAGAGATATGGATCCAAACACTGAAAACACAATGGGATTTGATTCATGAAACTAGCTGATATAAAATGCCATAGAAATATGGACGAGAAGCCAAGAATGGTGGTGCATGCCTGTAATTCCAGCATTTGGGAGGCTGAGGCAGGAGGATGGCTGTGAGTTCAAGGCCAGCTTGGGCTATAAAGTGAGTTGAAGGCCAGCCTGAACTAAATAGCAAGACCATCTCAAAAAGACAAAAAAAAACCCAAACAAACAAATATATATATATATATGGATGAAAAAGCAGAGCTAGATACAAATGGGAGAACAGGTATAAAAAGTACAAGGTAGGATAACTTAGCATACCATCAACAACACACATAGAGGAAAAGACCAGTTTTAAGAGTTACCAGTGCACTACCTCGGTATTAGATCAAACTAAAAACAAGGAAATAGGTGCTGGCCTAGGGAGCATCCTCCCTAGGGATATATAAAGCACCCACTGAAATACAGAAACATGACACTGAGTAGTCTTCTCTAAGCACAGTGAGAAAGTAAACTTTATGGATTTAATGTGCTGTGGAAACTGGTGCCCTTCTGAGGTTTCATTCTAGCCAATCATTGCCCACATTTGAGACATCTCAAGAAAATGTAACGTTCCACAAGAAGTTTCTCCATGCAGGTAGATTTACCATATCCTTTTTTGAATTGTAAAATACAGTCATGCATCCTTTAATGATGGGGATACATTCTAAGAAATGTGTTGTTAACAGTGATTTCATCTTATATGAACATCATGGAGTGTACTTATACAAAATAAAAGGGCAACAAGGTCCTCAAGTAATCTTACGTGACCACCATCATACACATGGTCTGATGACTGAAGCACTGTTTTGTGGCACTGACTCACACTAACGTAAAACGTAGTTTACCTACACCTTGGAGAAGAAGGGAGAGGGGAGGCAGGGGAAGTAAAAATGGTCAGAGTGCTATATGTATATGGATCAAACCCAAGCTGAATGTAATCATTATGTGTCACAAACATATACTCATAAAAAGAAAAACAAAAAAACCTGTGTGTTAAGGATAATGCCTCCTATGGCGGTCACCCCGATCAAGAGAATGCTTTCAAGCCTTCCTTCGGCCAGACTGGGGGCTTTCAAAAATTAATCTAATCAGATCTATAAAGATGACTATTATGGTTTGTATCATATGTGCCACCAAAGTCTCATGTGCTCACAGGTGGGGCTTTTCAGAGCTGGCAGGATCTAGGGTGTGTGATACTGGGATTAAGAGTGTGTGAGGCTCGGCTGGGGCGTGCCGCAGCGCAGGCGCCCTGCCCTGGGCAGCCAAGCGGCTGGCGCCCAGAAAGGCAAGCATCAGGCACCCGAAAAGCGGTGCAAAGACGCACGCCGGCTCCTGGGCCGGTTGACGCTGCGTGGTCGAGAACCACCATGCCACAGACAAGCACCAACACAATGGGCCTGCCCGGAGACGTGCGTGAACCATCCCGACATAAAGAAACCTCTGGGAAAACATGCCACATGGCAGGTCGCTCTTGGCCCTGCCCTTGAGAGCCAGAAAGGTCCGGAGTCAGCGGAGGAGCAGCTGATGAACAAGGACTCGAACACGAGAGTACCGACGCCCAACAACTCAGAGGTCAAGCTGACTGGGGACGTGAGAGCCATTCAGGAGCTGGAAACCAGGACCTTGTGCAACACCCGGGGAGACCCCCCCTGGAGGCCATTCTCCCCCTAACTGTACAGGCTGCAGTGGAGGAGCGAGTGGAGTTCCAGAGAGGTCTGCACTGAGACTTCATGGATTACATAGGGTGCCCAATATTCAGATTCTGAAGAACCGCCTTCATGGAGGAGGAGCTCCGCGAAATCAAGAGTATAGAGGAAAAAGTGGACGGCCCGTTGCTGGGCACTGGTGCTGATCTCTCGGTCCTTCTTTTCAGTCCTGGCCTTCAAGCCGTCACACCTCAGTGAGGGGAGTCACTGATGAGGAGGTAATCCCACTATTTTTCGCAACCCTTGGGCTGTAACTACTTGTTGGATCTTTCTTGCACATCTTTGTTTCCCTGAGAAACCACTTTGAGAATGCCAACATGTATTGCAGCAGCCACTTATGATTTCCTACCAAGCTGTCCTTAACTCTGTAATGTTTATATTGTTCCTATGCTATTTCGTAAATGGATGCATGTCTGTTACTATGTGTTTTCAACAACAACCATTGAGAATAGTCAATGATTATTTGATTGATCACTCATGTATAGCTCTATTTGTTTTCCCTAGAGACCACTTTGGGGAAACCAGGGTACAGTACAACCACCACTGATAATTTCCTGCCATTTTTCTCTGTAACTCACTATTATTTGTCTACTTGTTTTCCTGAGAAACTATCTTGAAGAAACCAATAGGTAAAATAGCATCCACTAATAATGTCCTACCACTTGTCTGTAATTCGGTGGATCCCCCAATTGCTATGTTGTCCTTCTGTCTGTAACTCACTATTATTTGTCTATTCGTTTTCCTGAGAAACTATCACTTTCCTGAGTCCTACCACTTTGTCTGTAATTCGATGAATCCCCCTATTGCTATATTGCCCTTCTTTTACTCTTTAAAAAAAAAAAAAAAAAAATGTATGTGGTACTAAATTAGCCCACTGACTGGAACTGGCACAGCTCTGGATGTGGGTGAATGCATTTATTGAAGACAGAAGCCCCATCCTGGGTCTGGGTAGCACCATCCAAAAGGTTGGCAGCCTAAGTGAGATAAAAGAGAAAGGCAGGCTCCCTGCTGCTGCTTGCTACATCCTGCTTGTCTCAGCATGGACTGTTTCTCCTTTGTCACATCCCTGCATGCCACCCTGTCTTGGAGCCACCTGACTACAGTCTAAAATCTAAATTATGAGCTAAAATACACTCTTCCTCCTTTAACTTGTGGGTGTCGGATATGCTGTCTCAGCAATGAGGAAAGTAAGACAATGATCTTTCAAGTCAAAAGTATTAAAGAAATTTATTTCAAATATGAACCAGCACTCAGGAAGCTGAGGCAGGAGGATCGTTGTGAGTTCAAGGTCAGCCTGGGCTACAAAGTGGCCAAGGCCAGCCCTAACTGCACAGTGAGACCCTGTCTCAAAAAGACACCCTCACCAAAAAAAAAAAAAAGATGAAAAAAAACAATATGAACCAGCACTGGCTACTAGTAATTAACTTCACCCTAACTGTGTATTCGACCTCAAAACTCTGCCAAATCCAACCCACTGCCTGTCTCTAAATAAAGTTTTACTGAAAACCAGTCATACGTATTTGTTTAGATAGGCTGTTTTTGTACTACACAGGCAAAATTAAGTATCTAAAACTGAGATCCTGTGGCCTGCAAAGCCTAAGTATTTACCATCCAACTATACATGGTCTGTAGATTCTGCTCTATGTCATGCTTCTCAGAATATTCTTTCCAACTGTGACTACCACTAAAAAACAAGCAAGCCAGCCAAGATGGTGTACGTCTCTAATCTCAAAGCTCTGGGAGGCTGAGGCAGGACTGCAAGTTCCTGCCCATCCTGGGCAATGTAATGACTTAGTAAGGCTCTGTCTCAAAATTTTAAAAAGGGGTAGAAGCT